CATACCTATGATTCTATTTCTGTTCTGGTTGTTTGCTTGGTTTATTTTTTTAGATTCAGTTGTTAATAATTGTGAATTTGTTGCCTTTTTAATGTTCATAGTTTTGATCTTCTTTTTCTTAAATAAGTCCCTTTAACATTTCATATAATAATGGCTTGGTGATGATGAACTCCTTTAGCTTTACTTTGTCTGGGAAGCACTTTACCTGCCCTTACATTCTAAATGATAGCTTTGCTGGATAGAGTAATCTTGGTTGTAGGTCCTTGCTTTTCTTCACTTTGAATACTTCTTGCCAGTTCCTTCTTCCCTGGAAAGTTTCTTTTGAGAAATCAGCCAACAGTCTTATGGGAACTCCTCTGTATGTAACTCTCTGTTTTTCTCTTGTTCCTTTTAAGATTCTCTCTTTATCTTTAATCTTTGGCATTTTAATTATGATGTTTCTTGATGTGGACCACTTTGGGTCCAACTTGTTTGGGACTCTGTGCTTCCTGGACTTGTATGTCTATTTCCTTCACCAAATTATGGAAGTGTTCTTTCATTATTTTTTCAAATAAGTTTTCAATTTCTTACTCTTTCTCTTTTCCTTCTGGCATCCCTATGATTCAAATGTTGGTAGATTTGGAGATGGCCCAGAGGCTTCTTATAAAAATTCTCATTTTTAAATTATTTTTCTTTCTTGCTGTTCTGATTGAATGCTTTTTTTCTTCCTTATGTTTCAAATTATTGATGTGACTCTCAGCTTCATCACCTCTACTCTTGATTCCCTGTAGATTTTTCTTTATTTCACTTAATGTAACATTCATGTGTGCCTGGATCTTTTTTATGTTCTTGCTGTACTCAATGAGTTCTTTGAGCATCCTGATCACCAGTATTTTGAACTTTGTATCTGATAGGTTGGTTATCTCCATTTCATTTAATTCTTTTTCTGGAATTTTGTTCTGTTCTTTCAACTGGGCCTTATTTCTTTGTCTTCTCAATTTGGTAGTCTCCCAGTGTTTGTTTCTGTGTGTTAGGTAGGGCTGCTTTGACTCCCTTAGTAGCATGACCTATTGTAGAAGAGTGGACCTGTAAACTGTATGGGGCGGAGCCTTAGGTAATTGCCAGGGCAGGGCAACCTATTCCACTGCTTTGTGGCTGTGTGGTGGAAGGACTCAGAGAGGGGACAATGCTGTTGCCTGACTTCTGGAGGTTTGCCTGGGAGGAAGCTGTCACACAGCACTTGCCCCGTTTCCAGTCATTTCCATTTCTCCCCAGTTATGCCACTTGTGCCCTTCCAGCTCTTGCCCTCATGCTGAGTCCTAGAGGGGGTGGGTATGTGTAAGTCCTAAGTCTATGCTGGCCCTTTAAGAGGAGTCTCCTGATAATCTGGCAGTTTCTTCTGCTGCCCACTGTTTTTTACAGCCAGAAGTTATGGGGATTTATCTTGCTGGTGATGGAACCCTGGGCTGCTGGGGTGGTCTGGTTTGGGGCTGGGATCCCTCACTTCCAAGGTATACCCCCTGATTTTTATCCACCACCTATGAATGTGGTGCGCCCATTCCACCGCCTGCCCGCACCTCTCCACCTCTCTCGGTGTCTCCGCCCCTCCTACCTGTCTGGATGTATGTGGCTTCTTTAAATCCTTGGTTATAGGACTTCCGAACAGCCAGATTTTCTGATGGTTCTGGGTGATATTTATTTTGTAGTCTAGTTGTAATATTTTTCTGTGGTTGTGCAAGGAGGCTAAGTGTGTTTACCTATGCCTCCATTTTGGCCAGACATCCAAAATTAATTTTCTTAAATCTTCCTTGTATACTTGAAAAATAGTGTGTGTTCTCCAAATGCTGGGTGCAGAGTTCTATACATGTGCCTTAGAAAATGTTAATAGTATTGGTGACATTCCTGCAATGACTAGTGATTCTTGGATGTCTTTTCATATTTAAGAGTGCTATACACTGAATGTTTTATGTCCTCTCAAAATTCATGTTGTAAACTAATTCCAATATAATGGTTTCAGGAGGTGGGAGCTTTGGGAGGTGATTAGGTCATGAGGATGGAGCCCTTATGAATGGAATTAGCGCCTTATAAAAGAGGCCTAAGAGAGCCCCCTTCCCTTTTGGCCAAATGAGGATACAGTGAAAAGACAGATGTCTATAAACCAGGAGGCAGCCACTTACCAGACAGTAAATCTGTCGGCACCTTAATCATAGACTTCCCAGCCTCCAGAACTGTAAGAAATAAACTTCTGTTGTTTATAAGCCAACTTCTGTTGTTTATAAGCCACTTAGCCTATGGTATTTTGTTATAAAAGCCTGAATGGACTACAACAGTGTGAAGTACTAAAAAGCTGACTGGAAATTCTTTATGCACAGATGGGGCTTGTTGACTGGGCTTTCAATGTAGGACGACTTCTTATGGATCCAGACAGTTCATTATGGGATCCCTCAAATGTCAATATCTGCCATTCTAATATAATTTATCTTCTAAAACTATATTGACATTTGTCTACTATTATCTCCTCTCTTGTTTTTTTTTTTTCCTTTGGGTTTGTAAACTATTCACCCCTTTACTTTTCATTAATTTTTTTAAAATTGAAGTATATATGCATTCAGAAAAATGACCACATATACACAACCTGAATACACATGTAAACCAGTACTCAGATTAAGAAATTAAACATTATCAGCACTTTGTGAGCTTCCCCTTGTTCTTCTCTAGTCATTGTTCCACCAAGAGCAATGACTACATTGACTTCTAACAGCATGGATATTTGGATAGTTTCCAGTTTAGGGCTAGTACCATTTATGGGTATGAAATTTTTTATGCATGTCCTTTTTAGTGAACACATGGACCCATTTCTGTTTGGTATACACCTAGGAGTGAAATTGTTTGACAAAGGCTTTGCATATATTCAGCTTTAGCTGATAGTGCCAAACAGTTCAAGAAAGTGATTGTACCAATTTATGTTCCCTTCAGCAGCTTATTTGAATTACACTTGCTCCACAATCTTGCCAATACTTGTTTTTTCCTGTTTTTTATTTATTTATTTATTTAGTTAGTTAGTTAGTTATTTATATTTTAGACTTTCTGATGGGTATGTAATGGTATCTTATGATGGTTTTATTTTTTAAAAAAGATTTTATTTATTTATTTTTAGAGTGAGGGGAAAGGAAGGAGAGAAGGAGAGAAACATCAGTGTATGGTTGCTTCACACATGCCCCCCACCAGGGATCTGGCCTGCAACCCAGGCATGTGCCCTGACTGGGAATTGAACTGGTAACCCTCTGGTTCATAGGCCAGCATCAGTCCATTGAGCCACACCAGCCAGGGCTCATTGTGGTTTTAATTATTTGCATTTACTCTACCTTTTTGTTTGTTTGTTTGTTTTTTAATTTGTTTCAGGATGGAACAGATTAAAATGAAGGACAGTAATCCTCTGCATCTGCCAGAAATTTCCCCTTTATGTGTACTAATCTAATGGAATTTAGAACCTTCTTTCTGTACTGGAGGAGGGAATATGTCATAAAGGATAAGGGCACCAAATTTTGTAATCAGAGATACAGAAGTTTGATTCCCAGCTCCAGTGCTTACTTGCTTTGTTGCCTTGAGAAATTTATTTAACCTTCTGAATTTTATGTAAAGTGGCACTAAAAATAGTGCTGCCTTACTAGGTTATTATGAAGATTATGTGAGATAAAATATGTAAAATGCTCTTCAAAGCACTTCACACACTGTGATCACATACTCAACTAATGGCAACTATTATAATAGCTTATATTGTTTTATTTTAGCTTTTATTTATTGATTTTAGAGAGGAAGGGAGAGAACAGGAGAAACATCAGTTTGTTATTCCACTTACTTATGCATTCATTGGTTGATTTTATTTTTTGTATGTGCCCTGACTGGGGATTGAACCCACAACCTTGGCGTATCAGATGGTGCTCTAACCAACTGAGCTATCTGGTCAGGGCTATACCTCATATTGTTTATGCACATCTCATTTCTCTTTCTGATTTATACATTCTATGACAAAGCACACAGCACACAGCACACATATATGTGCCTCACATACAATAATTGCTGGAAAAGACTGGTTGAATGAATGGTTTTGAATATAAACAAAAGGGTCCTGGCTGATGTGGCTCAGTGGATTGAGTGCCAGCCTGCTAACCAAAGGGTTGCCGGCTGGATTCCCAGTCAGGACACATGCCTGGGTCGCTTGGCCAGGTCCCCAGTTGGGGGCACGCGAGAGGCAACCACACATTGATGTTTCCATCTCTTTCTCCCTCCTTTCCCATCTCTCTATAAATAAATAAAATCTTTTAAAAAATTACATAAAAAATAAATATAAATGGAAGGTATTGTGATTGTTATAAAAGATGTTGTAAATTATTATAATGGTTATAGTACAAAATACACTGCTAATGATTAATACATTATTTAAACAAGTGTCTCTCCTGAGCCCTGGCAAGGTAGCTCAGTTTGTTATAGCATCCTCCTGATACAGCAAAGTTGTGGGTTCAATCCCCCATCAGGGCATATACAAGAAACAACAAATGAATGCATAAATAAGTGAAACAATCAATCTCCATCTCTCTCTCTCCTCCCCTTCCTGTCTCTCTAAAACCAATAAATAAAAATTTAAAAAAATAAACGAGTGTCTTCGTTTGACAGTTATGTAAATTAATACAATAGATAAACACTACTGGAGCTAATTAGTAAAGACAATTACATGTACCATACTGCATTTGTGAGGATTCCAGGGACTTATCCGTTTACAACCAAAACCAAAACCAAAAAATCTCACCCTAGAAACAAAAACAGAATGCCACTTTTCTGAAGATACGTTAAGCCTTTCAAATTTTAACAGATCCTTATATTCAGCAGTGGCAAGACTAGGGAGGCCACAGCTGCCCCAGCAGCTTCCGTACAACATGGCGCCGCCCATTGGTGCACCCCAACTGGATTACGTCCTCCTAGACCGTTTCAGGACCGGAAGTGGTTTCGTCCCTAGTGGATCCGGGTGGGTTCGCGCAGGTGGCTGCAGAGGTTCCAGTTCTTCAGCGTGAGGGGCCGCAGGTGTTCAGGTGGGATCCGGGTCGCAAGTAAGTGAGGATCAGGGGCTGGCAAGGCCTTTCACCCGGCTTATGCGAGGGGCGCAGGGGGTTTTCACTGACGAGTCAGGAGAGGGGTCGTGGAGTTGGTGATGTCACTGTGTGCGGGGGCGACTGATTGCGGGGACCATGCCGTCCCAGAGCTGCTTGGCACTGCCCCTCTTCCCGCCCCTCGGCGTGACTTCCTCGCACCCCTTGCCCGTGGCGGGGGCGGTTTAGCACCCAGTGCGCGGCCCCCCACGCCCTCCCAGGGCATCGCCTTCGATCCCCTTTTCTGTTTAGGAGCACGTACCAAACCATGGCTTCTTGACCCAGTGGAAGGGAAGCACCATCTGCAGCACCTAGCAACTCCTTGGGCGCTGTGTGTTCCACGCGTCCAGTTACAGTTCCCTCCCCCGGATTCGTGGGGACTTACCCCCGCCCCCCATTGTTACCACCCCTTTCCTCCCAAGCCACACCCGCCTCTCCGGCCTTCCTGGGTAGCCACCTCTTTTTTTTTTTTTTTTGCTATCCTTGGGACAGCTTAAAACTAGAACATTAATGATTGTATATTACATAATTGATACCTCCTGATTAAAATATAAACAAAACCAAACCTTTATAAGCTTTTGACTTACCGTGGGACGGAAACGAACTCTTTTTAGCTACCCACTCCTTTATTAAAACGCCAAATGAATTATATCGTATTTTTTAGTTGTATTGCAAGGATGGAAGGAACTGCACTGGAATGTTTTGTTAATTATCAGAATTAGGAAGTACGGAAAAAAGGAGGTTGAATCGAGGGGAGGGGAGGAATGATTTTGGTCAAGATGAACTTGCTTTAAAAAATGCATTTATTCTTCTATATTTATTTTAGTTGTAGTACATGCATACAATCTTGTAAAGCATTGATGTGAACATTTTAAACAGAATGGATTCTCTTTGGCCTGTCTCTTTCCATTTCCATTTTTTCTTTTTTAATCTCTTGCCCAAGCAAGCAAGAGTAAAGTAAGAACTGTTATCCATTTGGGGTGTGTTTTTCTATTTCTTTTTCTTTATATTTATTGACAAGTGTTTGTACATATAAGATATATTCGTGGTAAACTTTTACAAATGCATCTTTACAAATAAGGGGTATTATACCTATTCAGCAACTTGATGTTTTGTGCTTAAAAATGGGTTTTAGAACTTTTTATCAGCATATACAGATCTACCTTATTGTTTCTACTTGCTCTGTAAATTCCATAATATGTTAAGATTTCACTGTGGCCTGTGTCGCTCAGCTGGATGGAGTGTCGTCCTGTTACCAAAAGGTTGGGGGCTTGATTCCTGGTCAGGGCACGTACCTAGGTTGTGTTTTGATCTCTGTTCTGGGGACACTTACAATCCCCTGTCTGACCCATAGGAGAGGCAACCTATTCATGCTTCTCTCTTGTATTGATGTTTCCCTCTCTCCCTTCCTCTGTCTCTAAAAAGCAATAAAAAAAATGTACTCAGGTGAAGATTTAAAAAATTTTTTTGTAGTATGTGAGATTCCACAGATTGCTTACAGTTTCTCACTGTAGCATAGAAAAATCCTTCCACATGTGAGCGTGTCTTAAGGATAGATACCTGCAAGTGGAATTGCTGGGTGGAAGGATGTGGATTTTTTGTTTCATGTTGTATCATCTTTAATTAAGTACAAAGACTTTTTCAATCATCTCACCTAGAGCTCATTTCATCCACTGTTCTGTTTGACCTCCAGTGTCTTGTCTCTCCCTTCAGCAATGATGAGGCGGATACCCTTTACACAAGGGAGGGAAATCCATGTTTTGTTGCCTTTGCCAACTACAAAAATGTTGGAGAGCCAGGTGGCAAAGCTGTTGCCATTGACATCGTTCATGTGAGCTATGTTAAAAGAACCAGGGTGTCTCTCTCTGTTGGTTATCACTGCAGTTCTTCCCAGGTTAACACCTCTGGTCACCATACACAGGTTACCAGCATCAAACTTGATAAAATCAGTAATTTTGCCAGTCTCCAAATCAATTTGAATGGCGCTGTTGACCTTCATGAGGGGTCAGGGTAGCGGATGGTGCGAGCATTATGGGTCACCAGGTAAGGGATTCCTTTTGTGCCCACAAAGGTCTTCCTCACTTTGCACAACTTGTACTTGGCATCCTCAGGTGTAATATGATGAACAGCAAAGCGACCCTTGGTGTCATAGATCAGATGGAAATTCTCTCCGGTCTTGTCAATGCTGATCACATCCATAAAACCAGCAGGGGAGGTTATATGAGTTCGGATCTTGCTGTCAATCTTAAAGAACCGCTGCATGCAGATCTTCTTTATTTCATCTCCTGTTAGGGTGTACTTAAGGCTGTTCCTTAAGAAAATACTGAGAGGGAGACATTCTGCCAGCTTGCAGGGACTGGTAGGTGGCCGAGGAGCAAACATACAGGTGAGCTTATCCAGCATCCAATGCTTTGGAGCTGCTACGCACTTCAGATGCTTCTTGGGACCTCAAGCCATGGCTGTGTTAGGCACAGAAAGAGGCGAGGATGTGGGTATTTTAATGCCAAAGTAGTTACTAGAGAGATTATGTTTGCATGGTTGTTGACAAATTCTAGTTCCTCTTCTGAGAAATGTCTCATTTCTATTGGGTTGTCTCCTTATATGTATATAGTAGGGTTTTATATATTCTAGATAATAATCTTTTGTCATTTATATATGTTTTAAATATTTATCCCCAACTTAGTGCTTTTATATTTTTTAATTGTTATCCAAAGGTATATTTTATTGATTTTAGAGAGAGAGAGAAGAAGGAAGAGAGAGAGAAACATAAATGTGAGAGAGAAACATTGATAGGTTTGCTTCCTGTTCATGTCTGGACCAGGATCAAACCTGCAACCTTTTGGTGTATGGAGTGACGCTCTAATCAACTGATCCACCGAACCAGAGCCCAGCTTAGTGCTTTTAAAAGTTGTTGCTTGTCTTTGGCCATGTGGCATCTTTGTTAAACCAAAGTTTTAAATTTTATGTGTAAATATCAATCTTTTATGTGTGTATTTTGTATTTTCTGGCTATCATTCCCTACTTGAATGGTTCTCAAATGGGAGATATTTTGCCTTTTAGGGGCCATTTGGCAATGTCAGGAGACATTTTGTAAAATTGATTTTATAGAGGAGAGAAGGGAGAGAAAGAGAAACATCAATTTGTTGTTCCACTTATTTTTGTGCTCATTATTTTATTCTTTTTTTTTTTTTTTTTTTTTTTTTTTTTTTTTACCTTATCCAAGGACATTGTCATTTGCTTTTTTTAGAGAGAGAGAGGAAGGGAGAGAGAGAAACATCGATGCAAGAAAGAAGCATCGATTGGTTACCTTCGTGCATTCCTAGACTGGGGATCCTATACGTCTGGACTGGGGGTCACATGTGCCCATGTCCTGTACTGGGGCTGAACCAGCAACTTAGGTATGTGCCCTGACCGGGAATTGAACCTGCAACCTTCTGGTTATGGGATGATGCTCCAACCACTGAGCCACACCAGCCTGGGCCAATGGTTGATTCTTGTATGTGCTCTGACTGGAGATTGAACCTACAGCCTTGGTGTATAGAGATGATGCTCTAAGCAATTAAGCTAGCCTGCCAAAATCATGTTTAAAATTGAGAAGGAAGGCACAATCAAGATGCAAATTGGTCTCCAAGTATGAAACATTTGGCTGAAAAACAAGATAAAATTTAGAAGAATGAGCTTTAAAGTTTTGGATTTAAGTGCAAAATATAAACTGACAAATATATAAAACTCAACTTGGTATCAGTGTATTTTAATTTACCACAAGCTTTATATGACCCATTAGTCATATGAAACATTCTGCTGCTACTTAGAAATATTTCATACAGCATTAATAAAATATAGGTAAATTGGTATTAATATCAATGTAACCCACACTCAAATATTAAATGCAGACCTAGGTGTCACATTTTAAGCAATACCTTGATAAACATGGGGCTGTTCAGAAGGATCTAGCCACAATGATGAGTGGTTTATAAACTAGGTCATAGGAAGACTGGTTGGATTAAGTAGAATATACTAATGAAAGTCCTAAGAACTACTATCATCATATATTTCACAAGCCCTCAGGAGGGAGTGAACACTTCTGTCATATCAGAAGCCAGGCTGAGTATCAAAGAGAGCAACTTGTATGTAGCAAACCTTAACAGAATGCAAGGACTTCTCAACGAAAACTGCCTCTTAAGGTAATGAACTCTGTTCCTAGAAGTGTTCAGGTGCAGAGCAGGTCAGAGGCCAGATCGAGATCTATCAATATTACTGTGGAAAGGATTCTTGAATTGTGTGGGAGTTGAGTTTGGTTCCTAAATTTTAACACTAGGGTTCTTTGTTTTCCTTTAATAGAAGTTCCGTGATTTATAGAACCTCAGTAGTAGTAATACAAATATTTACTGAACCCTAATGTGCTAGCCAATATGTTAAGTGAAGTATATTGATCATCTTACTTAAGCCTCACAATAATTCTACCTGGTAGGTACTGTCTTTCCCATTTTACCAAGGAGAAATCTGAGGCTTAGAGAAGTTCAGGGAATTGCCTGAGTCTACATAGCTAGCAAGTGGCAGAGGCTGGATTTGAATCTTAGGGTATTTGCCTCTAAGGCCCATATCATTCTCTTCTACCTTATGCTGTTCTCTGAACACTTTAACATGTTTGTTTAATTCATTGAGTATGATTTATTTCAGGAATATGATCATATTTCTTAAGTGTTAAGTGGGATATTTACATTGCCTGACTCTAAGAAGCATCATTTAAAAAACTTGTGGTTTTCTAATTATGAATATATACATACTTGTATAGAATTTAAAAATTATGTATAATTATTATTTTTAATAATTATCTATAATCCTACTACTCTTGGGTAACCACTGTTCCCACATTCAGTTATTCACCACCTAACAAGGATGTGTTCTGAGGAATGCGTGGTTAAGTGATTTTGTTGTGTGTGAACATCACAGAGCACACTTTCACAACCTAGATGGTATAGCCCTCTACATACCTAGGCTATATGGTAAAGTCTATCATGCCTAGATTACAAATCTATACAGCATGTTACTGTACAAAACAACACAAGATTAAAACAAGCCCAAGACAAAATGATAGCAATCAAGAGATGTGGTAAACACGCAATGGATGAGGCTGCTGCTGACATAACATGCCATACTGTTTTATAGCAAACCTTTTTTTAATAAGTAGAAACAGTACAGTCTAAAATAACAATAAAGAGTATAGTATAGTATGCATAAACCAGTAACATAGTTGTTTGTTATTATCCAGTATTACCTCCTGTTCATAACTGTACGTGCTGTACGTCTCTGTGACTGGCAGTGCAGTAGGTTTGTTCACACCAGCATCACCACAAACGTGTGAGTGATGCATTGTGCTATGACATTATGATGACTATAATGTCACTAGGCAATAGGAATTTTTCATTATAATCTTATGGGACCACTGTTATATGTGTAGTTCATCGTGTCTTGTTATGTAGATCCATTAACAAAAATTTATTCACTAACTTATCAGTAAGTGGAAGCAAGAGTCTGACTTATTCTGCTTTAATTGATAAGCTTTTGTATGATTAAAAGAGTCCGGGGCAACTGGTAGAAGGCAGGAGGATTTTCTTGGGTGAGGATGGAGTAGAGAATGTACAAAAGTGAAAAAGTTAAAATATCACTGTTTCATGTGGAAATCTGTAGCATGGCTTTCATGGATTGTAAATGGAACACTTTTAGGGGAAACTTGTTCCCAAATAGATCTAAATTCTTTTTGTAAATATATTGTTACCATTTGTTTTGCAGATTGCGGGATTAGTGACATGCTTTCCTAAACAGCAGCAAAGTTGAAGATGTCTCGACACTTGGTAGCTTTGACAGTGAGCACACTTCTGGGTGTGGCAGTGGGGGGGTTTGTCCTGTGGAAAGGCATCCAGCGCCGGAGGAGTAGAACGAGTTGTGGGACCCAGCAGCAGCAGCAGCAGCAGCAGCAGCAGCAGCAAGTTCCAGGCAGGAGAGAGCTGCCTGCTCCAGAAGAGGACCCGCTGCACTCCAGTGCCCCCAGAGCCTCATGGGAAGAGAGGATCCTTGATGCCAAGGTGGTGACTGTGTCACAGGAAGCAGAGTGGGATCAAATCGAACCCTTGCTTAGGAGTGAGTTACAAGATTTCCCAGTACTTGGAATTGACTGTGAGTGGGTAAGTTAAAAAGCAAAAATAAAATCTTTTCTTCTTTTCCAACTAGGGACCTTGAATAGTCAGATACAGGATAAGATTAAAGGAGAATTAGCTTGTTCTCAACTTGCTAGTAAGTAGATTATAGCAGCAGGAGCTGCTCTTTTCTCAGAGTTGGGAGTGCTCATAGTCATAGATTCTGGAGTCAGGCAGATCCATGTTGGCCTGCAACCCAGGCATGTGCCCTGACTGGGAAACACACCGGTGACCTTTCAGTTCGCAGGCCAGTGCTCAATCCACTGAACCACAACAGCCATGGCTACTATTAATATTTTTAGTAGTATTTTCATAAAGATGCCATGGAGAAGCTTATTAAGAAAGTCTTTTTAAATGGGCATTATTATACAAGTTGGGATTTTAAAAGATAAGTTAAAATTTGAAACATTGTTTACTCTAAGCCAGCTAGTATGCTGGCTTTTATTTGATCATCTCATTTAGTTTAATTAGATTCTCCTAATAATGCTATGTAGGGAGATACTATTACTATCCTCACTTTTACAAGTAGGAAATGGAGGCATAAATAGGGTTAGTTACTTGCCCAAGGCCACAAAGCTGGCAACTAGCATTTGAGCCCAGGGCTTTCTTTACCAGCTGGTTAATTTTTCTAATGGCTGTTAACTTTGGGGGAGTTGTTACATAGTTGTGATGACGATAGTGTGGCACATGTACTCTTCTGTCATTCTGATTCACAGAGTAAACTGTAATCTCCTTGAATCAGAAGGTATTACAAAAATGTAAACAACTCAGAGTTATCATCTCTTATTCCTTCGTTGTTATATCTTGCCAAGAATTTCTGATATTTGTCTTCTGGATGTCTAGAATATGCCAAGAACTTGGAAATGCAATCAAAAGAGGCCCTAAGCAGAATACCTGCCACAAAATCAGATCAGGGTTGGTAGGAGTGACTACTAGATGCCACTACAATGATGACCAAGAAGAGAATGCCTGACAGTGTGGGAAAAGTTTGCTGGTCACACAAGGCCCTACATCTTAGCTACTGAGGGTATTTCTTTATATCGGCAATAGTAGTTGTTGTTGTAGTAGTAGTTGTTGATAGCAATGATCTTTGGGCACTTTTGGTTTATTCTGTATAAGAAATTATATCCTTTTAGAAATATTTACATATTTCTATGTCCTTTTAGAAATATTTACACGAACATCAATAGAAGAAAACATTAATAAATGGTGAGCTTTGGCATTTGCCAAATACCTTGATCATTCTAACTAAATGAAATATAATTACAACAACAAACAAAGTATTCTGAAGTGGATAGTTAATAACAGCAATGGGCTTAATAATAATAGGGTTTAATGCCTGTAGCAAAAGCATGGAAAAGTCAAAGTGGCAAATAACCCAGAACCCACTGCATGTTGGCTTTCGGTACGTATTCAGTTCGCTCTGGATGCCGCGTCTCCCTGCAGGAGTGATGGTGCCCTCCCATTGCTGCCACAGAAGAACTTTATGGGAACGTCGGCCATCCTTGTTCTCGCCATTCTTCCATTTCTGCTTCCCTTTCGCTTTCATTTACTTCGGTGTATTTGTTTAGCTATTGTTTTTGCTCTTGTTTTACAGTCAGCATTTGTTTAGACTTACCAAAGTGTCCTCCCCCCCTTTTTTTAAGTTCATCTTTCTTTATATCTCAGACTTTTCTGGACTCATTTTCTTTAAGGTCATACTTTAGAAGTGTAACATTTCTTTGGGGCCCATTAATGATAAACTTATTGTTTTGAAAATGTCTGTTTTGCTCTTGATCTTGAAGATATTCTCACTGGATGTAAAATTCTAGTTTGGCAGAAAACGATGATTTTTAATATAGTTCTTCATTGTCAGGTTTCTGGCTTCTGTTGTTGTTGTTGAAAATCACTTAGTCTACATGTTGATTCTTTATAGGCAATCTAATTTTTGTAGTTCCTTTTAAGATCATCTCGTTGAGTTTGTGATTCTAAAAATTCACTGTGAGAAGACTAGGTGTTCTCTTTCTGAATTTCCATCTTGGGATTCAGAGAGATGAGGATTGGTATCTTTTATCAATTTTTAAAATCTCTTTAAAGATTATCTTTCTCCTGTTTACTTCTCCTCCTCCTCTTCCTCCCCCTTCTTTCTTAATTGGAATTTGATCAGCTACATTCTGAACTTTTTTTTTTAAGGTTTGATTTATTTTTAGAGAGAGAGGAAGGGAGGGAGAGAAACATCAATGTGTGGTTGCCTCTCGCACGCCTCCTACTGGGGACCTGACCTGCAACCCAGGCATATGCCCTGACTGGGAATCGAACCAGTGACCCTTTGGTTTGCAGGCCGACACTCAATCCACTGAGCCACGCCAGCCAGGGCTTACGTTCTGAATTTTTTATGCTAACCTACATGTCTGATAATTTCTTTCACATTTAATATATCTTAGTCTCTCTGGATTTATTCTGCACAATTTCTTTGGGCCTTTTTTATAGCTCCCTTTTTCTTTCTTTGGCGTTGTCTAATCTTCTGTTTAACTTGCTCCCTGAGTCTTTTTTTTTTTTAACCTTTTTTATTGTGAAATAAAATATGTCAAGACAAATACCTGAAACAGAAATAAACAGTGAAATGATTTATCTAGAGGACAGCTGTGTATTTAGAAACTAGATCAAGAAACAGAATTGCTAGTTCCGCAGAAGCTCCCTTGTGACCCCTTATAATCATGGTCCACCCTCCCCTCTAAGGGTTGCCATTGCCCTGATTTCATGGTATTTACTTTCTTGTTTTTCTTTATATTTTTACTACTCAAGCATGTACTGTAATACAGTTGTGCCTTCTTTTTAAATTTAATGTAACTGAACCATCAAGTACGTATTTTGCGTCTGGCTTCTTTCGCTCAACTTCATGTTTGTGAGATTTACCTATGTTGTATGTGACTGACTCTTTGCTGTATAGTCGTCCATTGTATAAATATTATCACTACTTATTTATTCATCTACATATTGATGGACATTCAGGTTGTTTACAGTTTGGGGCTCTCACAAAGAATGCTGCATTTAGTTTTACTGTGCATGCTTATCTGAGTGGAGTCCTGGGTCATAGGGTTTGTACATATATCTTTAACACTTTTATAGATAATGCCAAATTGTTTCTAAGGTGGTTTTAACTAATTTACCTTCATTAGTATATGAGTATACTGTTTCCAATCTTTTTTTTGTTTGCTTTTTTCACAGTTGTACTGACTTTATTCCCCTTACTCTTCTTACTCACCCATCTGCTATCCACTTTGCCACTGTGGAGTGGCCACATATGACCAGACATCAGGGGTCCACAGGCCTGGGCACAGCCATTCTGCCACTTCCAGGAGGGGCTCTGTGGCAGCATGTGCCAGCATTGGAAACTTGGGCTCTGATACCAGCCCTGGCTCCTGGAACTGTAGTTGTGGGGCTTGAGGCCCACCTCGTCTCTCTGGCCGCTCGCCAGCTGGCCCAAGACCAGGGAGCTCAGGGAGGACCAGGGCGGGGAGAGGCCCAGGTTCCGGACCTGCGGTCTGGTCAGACAGGCTGGGAAGTACAGCTGGACAGAGGGACCCCTCACAGTGGAACTCCAACGGAAGATGGTGACCCCTTCCTGAGTCCCCTCCCCAGTGCTCCCACCTGCCCTGGGAAGTGGGTATGATGCCCTAATATCCTCCCTCCAATACCCAGATGCTTGTTAATTTATTTTTAAAATAAAAGGAAATGGAAAAGCTGATAAAGCAAGAACCCCAACCTTACTGGCACTGCTGAGGTTCCATCATTGCTTCAGGCCCTCGTGGTCTGGCTGGAAAGGAGCTCCCTCCCACAGTGGCCCAAAGGGAAGAGGGCATTTAACACCAGGGACACGGCTCCTGTGCCCACGGGGCGGGATCCTCCCAGGAGAAGGCTTGGCTGTGCCCTGTCTACAGCCATAAGACCACTTTGACCAGAGCCCAGCCTGCTGTCTGGATCCCTCACCTCTCCTCAGGGGGAAGGTATAAAAGATCAGGAAGCCCAGTCTTGGGACAGGATTTCACTACCAGCTCCCCCCACACCTTCCCAGGCTTGCTAAGGCCACAGTGGGGCTAGCAGGTGACAAGGCCACAGCGCCTGCTGGAGACCCTGCTGTCAGTGACAATGTGGGAACTCACAGGCGTCCCGGTCTAGAGCCCATTGAGGGAGATTAACTTTTTTAAAGATGCTGTGAGCCAGCTCTGAAGATCTGCCAGGCACTGTGACTGGAAATAAGAAAGAGCAGGGAGGAGGGGAAACGGGGAGGGGGGACCCTGAGGACGTCACGGAAACTCAGAGATAAGGGGGTCAGGAGAGGGAAGTAGCTACAGTAAAGCAGGAGCCTAGGAGGCCCAGCCCCAGAGCTGGGAGCCAGGCAGCTTCCGCCTTCCTCTCTCGGGGAGCGGCCCACTTATCTCCCCAGGGGACAGTAGGGGCCTCTGAGGGGCCATCTCTGGGCTCCGGCTTGTGCCGCTCCTGCTGCAGCCCTGTGTTCAGCCAGGCCAGGGGACTGCCCCCTCCGCCCCCTGAGAGTGTCAGGCTGTGCGGCTTGTTTCCAGCTGTGTTCAGAAGTGGTTCTACTAACTTAACCTCCTACCAAGACTATATGAAAATCGTGTTGTCTTACATCCTCATCAATATTTGGTACTGTCAGATTTTTAAATTTTAGTCATCCTGATGCATGCGTAGCAATATTTCATTGTGGTTTTAATTTGCATCTTGCATTAGATCAGTAAATCAGTTTGTGGGGAATTGACTTCTTTATAATACTGGGTTTTTTAATCTAAGAGTATTTAGATCTTTAATTTCTCTTAATAGTGCATTTATAGTGTCTGTGATTTTTTTATTCTTTTTTTTTTTTTTAACTAAAATGATGATTTTTAATGGGAACCAGAGATATGGTTGCAATTACGTCGTCCAACATGAAAAAAACCTGTGGTGACCAGGAGTCGGACGGTTGCAAAATAACGAGGGTAACACGAAAA